TTAATTATATATATGTTATTGCACAAACCGCACAGATTCTTTTTGGAGTCAGAAGGCCCTTACAAATCTAGTAAATTAATACATTGCAGACAGACCAGGCCTCCAAAAGTCTGGAGACCTCAGTGGGGAAAGCACTGGGGAAAATGATTTTCCTATCAGGCAGCTCATAAAGATTAAGACGATTTCTTAAACGTAGGTGAACCCCTTGCTTCCTTATAAACTCCTCAGAGACAGTAGCCTCCCTTTAAATACCTATTAGCTAAGGGACCCTCATGGCTTGGGCATTTGGCAGGCATGCCTGTTTTGCTCAATCATTGTCAAAGTTGATCCATCTTTTTGGAAAGTTCTCCCACTTTTTTTACCTCTAACCTAGAACTTAAAAACAGAAGATCATAAAAATAGCTCTGCTGGTTCTGGCCAAAGTCTATCCTAGTCCGACATTTTGTTTCTTACAATAGTCAACAAACATACTCACAAAGAGGAAATGGAGACTTACTCTTCTCCCATCATTGTTCCCTTGCAAATAGAGATATGCTGTCTGCAGCCAAGAGGTAACTTTGGGTCTTCAAGACTGATAGCCCTCAATAGGCCTATCCTCCATAAACTTATCCTCTTTTAAGCCATGCAAGTAAGTGGCTATCACTACACCTTGTGGTAACAAATTCCACAGATTAATTATGTATTGTGTGAAGAAGTACTTTCTGTTGCCTCTTCTAAACCTACTTCCAACCAACTCTTTTGGATGATATCTGGGCCTAGAGTTTGAGAGAAAAACCTCTCTCTGTCTACTTGCTCCAAGCATGCATGATTTTATACAGCTCAGTCATGTCCCCATCACCTTTTCCAAGCTAAAGAGTTCCAAAACTTCTAGTTCTTCCCCCCCCCCCCAGAGAAAGTATCCTAGACCCCTGATCAAATTGGTTGCCATCTTCGCACAGGCCTCATTCTGCGAGATGACTCCTACCAAAGATGAGTTTCCTCTAGGCCTTCCTCTGCATCCCATCAGAAAACAGGACAAATACAATTGAAATGGTAGGCTCATAAAACATGGAAAAACAGCAGAGAATAAGGAACAGCAGTAGGGCAACGCAGATCGTCTGTGTCAGAGCCACTGAGTTTTCTTCCCCGTGAAGAGCAGCTTCAGCTAAAAGCAGCAGAAAAGTTGTTGTTGGCAGAAAGCTATTCATGGGCAGTTTGTGCTGCTTCTCACTGCACTTTACCATTTCCAGATAAGCACTGTCAGCCCTTTACATTTGCACGCTCCTTAATTAACCCCTGAGTGAAAAATAAATAAATCCCCTTAATAACAACATAAATCGTTGCTGCCTTTCACACCAAGGCCATATGGTACCAAAGGAGCTGTGTCACTGTTAACTCTTTGGACCTGGGAGTTACACTGACTTTCAGGCACTCTTTGTTTTCTCTGTGTTCACTGATGGTCATATTCCAGGTCTCTAGTACAGATTGAGAAAGGTTGTACATAAACCAGCAGCTGGAATAACTAAAGGAACCAGAGTAAGTGCCCAAGCCTGGAGGCTCTTTGTACTCTTTGGAGGAATGTAGTGAGTTTAGGTTACAATTAGGACACGTATTTGTGCACTGAATTCATGCATTAAAAATATGTAATGAATCTCTGTCATGCAAGTGAAACTCCATTCAGTGGCTATATCCACATAATATATTGAATCCCAAACGAATCAACCATATTTTAGCCGTGCATGCTGGGCAAACCTAGCCCATGTAGTTAGTTTATGATTCAATTTATGGTCATACAACTGAAGAAACTGAGTTACTTGCATGAACCATGGCTAACTGAATAATGGATGAATATGTTGTGTTAATACGGCCTATATCATTCAGGCCACCCTCCAAATGGCTTCCATCTCATCCAGAAGTTGCTGTGCATAGAGAAAGCAGCTACCTTGGCGTGCAGCATTTTCTCTTCTCTAGCTCTGCTTGTGGGCCTTTGACTGAATGTAGCTTTTGCGACAGGGACCTTTTTCTTCTTGGATGAATACATTTTCAGCCGCCACTGAGCCATCCCAGTCTCTTTCAGCATTTCAAGAACCAGAAAGAACCCTCCATGCCTCATTGATTCCCAGCGAGGAAGCCTGAATCCCTTCTCAGTCACAGATTTTCTTCTTAGCATTCCTTCACCCTCATGGTCCACGCCAGGTTGATATTTAGTTTTAGAGAGATGGAAAGAAAACAATAAAGGAAACAAGGGGAAAATAAATGGGAAAGGAAAGGATGAATAGGCAAAAAGAGATAAGGCAGAAAAGAGATGGATTACGACTGAATAGTTATAAGCTGAGATGACTTCGGTACCTCTCTGACAGATTAATTGTGTCTGGAGGATGAAATGGAAAACACCTCCTATCTGTTGATTATTGAAGACTCTTCAATAATGTTTTTTTATAAACTGGATTGTAAAATATTTCAATACTCTTCAATACTGGATTTTTTTTTTTATAATCTGGATCATAAAATATTTCAAAACTGTAGTTAGGATACTTGCTGTGGAAGCAATCCTCAAGTAAACCTTTTTTGGCACATTATATTAAATTTGTTATTGTTGACAAACCTCAGTTCCCTGAAAATAACTCTGCTGTATCTCCTAAAGTTTTGATTTTATTTCCAGTGTTTTTAACACCTATATCCTGAATATTTTTTTCACCTGAGAGCTAAAGTATCTCCAGATAGGAATGTCAAAACTCTGAATGGCAGCAGTAGAAAATACAGCCCAGAGTGAGCAAGGTTACCCTGCTGGTGGCATATATCCTCCTGTGTTTGCGTGAACCACACAGTCCCTGAAATGGCAGGATCCTAGTGAGTGGGCATTGCTCATTACAGGGAACTGATATCTCAGCACCTTGAATTGATACTCTCACATGGAGAGTCTGTTTGGCCAGGGTCCTATATGAAATTGCTGTGAGACAATAATGAATGTTGTACAGTTGAGTGACATCAGAGTGTCCTATATTTAGTTAATAGACATAACATCCTGTAGAAACTTTCTTGCTCCTAAACCAGTATTTGGAAATTATTGTCTCACAGCAATTTCATATAGGACCCTGGCCAAACAGACTCTCCATGTGAGAGT